GAACATTTTGTAATGAGCAATTCCTTTCCTAACATTATGGAATTATTCATATTTCAATTTTAATCACATGTTAGGTGCCTTATAAAATAATGTTCAGTCAACTCTTTTATCTTATCTATCATACAGTAATTTAATAGAGATACACAAAATTGTTAAATATTTTTCATAATTTAAATAATATTTCCGATATAATTGTATACATGTAATCAAACATTATTAGTTGCATCATTTCTTTAAACTATATAATTTCCATAAATTAATTTTAATATTGATATATTAAAACATTTTTAACAATCACTCAAATATGCTTTATGCAATAGTTAATTTATATTGCATGCTTTTTATGTGTGTTTATATTCTAATATATACCAAAGATTATAAAATTAATTTAAATTAAATTATGCATATTCGCACATATTCATAATAGTGTTTAAATGTGTTTTAAAATGCTTTTTATTTGTAGATATTATTAAATTTATTTTTGAATTATTTACTTTAAAATATGTAATCATGTAAAATTGTTAAAAAATAGGAATGTAATAACGTTAATTGGATATAAAAATATTATCATGTTTTACTATGAAATTATATATTTAATTCATAATTTCATAAAATTTAGATAATAATATTTAATTTTTAATGAAATATAATATTATTAAAAATATATTATTCTTTTGATTTAAAAATATTTGGAAGGTAAGTTAAATTAAAAATGTATATTGTAAAATTAAAAATGTATGTGTTTGATAAATAATATATTAAATAATTTAAAAAATCACAAGTAAGTGAAAATTGTTAAAAAAATTTTCAAATTTATAATTATTTTTTTGAATATTATAGTTATAGTTAAGTAATGTATTGAATAATGTAATTGAATAATGTGTGAATATAGCCTATATAGATTTTTCAACAATGTACATATATATAGCGTACGCGATTTCAGTACTATGTGTGATTGCATGTGTAACGGATTTGTGATATGTGAATGTATTTGTTTGTAAACAATACTTATTATGTACAATTTAATGTTTTAGAATATGAAATAATATGATTCCAGAAATGATAAAAAAAAATATAGTAAACAAAATGAATGATAATAAAAAAAATGACTTTTATGAAATGGAAAAATGTAGTAAATGGATTGATACACATAATTTAAATAAGGTTTGCATATTTTATTTATGTGATGATTTATTATTAATTCAAAATATATGATTAAATTTTAATAAAAAATTTAATATTAAAAAATTTTTTTTTCTATTTTTTTAATAAATAGAATTTAGAGGTTAAGTAAACCCATTCTAATATTTTTATTATATTGATATATTCTACTATTTTATATATAGATTTATATTTAGAAAGAACAAATTCATAACTATAAATGATAGAAATATATTAAAAAATATAATAATATAATAATATAAAAAAATCAGTTCACATATATATTTTTAGGTTTGTCTACAATTTCCTGATAATCTTTTATCAGATTCAGTAGAAATTGCATTACGTTTAGAAAATTATATTAATAAAAAAGTATATATTTTGGGAGATACTTCTTATGGTAGTTGTTGTGTTGATGAAATAGCTGCTCAACATATTAATGCAGATAGTATAATACATTTTGGTCATGCTTGTTTAAATCCTACTACTCGTTTACCTGTATTTCATGTGTTACCCAAACAAGAAATTGATATAATAGAAATTACTAATAAATTTAAATTAAATTTTATTGATCAATTTGAAAAAATTTTATTTTTTTATGATATTGCTTATGCACATAAAATTGGTAAGTTTTTAAAATACTGATAATTTTTAATCTATTATAATAGATAAAAATGTCATTTATTATACTTAATTATCTCATAAATATGTTTCTGTTTCAGAAAATATATATAAAATATTAAATCCTATTTATAAGAATTTAGTCTTTACTTCATTAAATTGTACTTCTAATGTAGAATTTACAGATAATAAAGATAATTCATCTACAATAATTTTAGGTAGATGTTTTAAATTAGATACGGAATATAAATTAGAAGATTATATAGCATTTTTCTTGGGAAATGATGGAAGGACATTTATTACATTAGCAATGACAATTTCAGCAAAAAAATGGTACTATTTTGATAATAATATTATTGAATATAAAATATTAAATACTTCGTGGTTAAAAAGAAGAAGATTTGTAATTGAAAAATTAAAAGATGCCAAAGTTGTTGCTATAGTTGTAGCTACTTTAGGCATTAAAGATTATCTTAAAATAATAACAATGATTAAAGATATTTTAAAAGAAAAAAAAAAAAAATCATACATTTTAAGTGTTGGTAAAATCAATCCTGCAAAACTTGCTAATTTTCCTGAGGTATGATAAATTTTACTTGAAATATTAGCTATATTATTAATATTCTCAATAACTCGTAATATTATTATATCTTTACAGATTGATGCATTTGTTGTAATAACATGTCCCGAAAATGAAATATTTGATTCTAAAGAATTTTTAAAACCAATATTAATGCCTTATGAAGTAGAATTAGCATTTAATATTTCAAGAGAATATTATACACAATATTGTATGGATTTTAGACAAATACTTCCTGGAGGAATTAATTATATTGATTTTAAAACATCAACTGATTCAGATATTTCTTTAATTACGGGAAATCTTAGAAACTATGATGAAAGTGCATATATAAATAAGATGAATGCTTTAGTAATTAGTAACACATCAGGTATTATATCAATAAATAAAAATAAAATTTATAAGTAGTATTATATTATGTTATTATTTTATTTAATTATTATTATTTTAATTGATTTAGATATTGTTGCAATTGGAAAAGCAGGAGCAGAATTTTTGAATAATAGATCATGGAAAGGAGTTGAACAACGATTAGGCAAAGATGCAGTACATGCAGCAGAAATTGGTCGTTATGGTTTACCAAATTGTTATAAAAATGAACCTATTCTACAAAAAAAAAATGATGAATAGATGTAATAAATGTAATAGTTTTCATGCAGTAATACAATTTTATTTAAAAAAGAAAATTTTATTTAATTTCTTTATATGATATCACAAATTAGATATACATGTAATAGATTATCATTTGATATATTTAATGACATATAGTATTTTATTTATGGTCACATGCAATTATAAGAAAAGCAAATAATAAAAAAAAATAGAGATAGATTAAAAATTAAAGAATTAGCATTATTTTTATGTCACAAATGAATCATAAATAGACAATATATAGATAATGTATATATATATATATATATATATATATATTGATAAAGAGGGCGGATAATAGAAGAAGAATAGAGATATGATAATTGTCCATTAACGCCATCTATAAATATAAAAAATACTTATCAAAAATCATATTTCTGAAAACAATTAAGAAATAGATAGTTTTCAATTTTTATTTTATCTTTAAAAAGATTTCAATCTTTAATATTCAGTAAAAAAAACTGAAATATATTTATGCATTAAAAAATATATAATTTTACTTATAAAAATAAAGATAACTTATAAAAGTATATATAAAAGTATTCGATTCATTTTATCTGAAATATTTTTTGTTAATATGAAAAAAAATTAGATATTCCGGACATATATTAAATAAAATTATATAAAATATTCGATGTTTCTAAATCTTTTAGAATTAAAAAGATTGTTATAAAATATTCCATATTATAATACTATAAAAAGGACATTCGATACAATATTATAAAAATAACTTTTATTGTAAGAAATAAATATATAAAAGATACATATAGAATTAAAAAAACTATTGAAAAAATTCGAAATTCAAAAAAATGATAATTATAACAGACAAATAATAAATATATACAAATATACAAAAAATTATATATAAAATTATATATAAAATAATATATAAAATTTCGATTTTTGAAAATATTAAAAAAATTCTATATGCTATATCTTGGATTATATTTTTCTAATATAAAGTCAAAAATTTGGCCAAAAGTTGTATTAGAAGAATATAATTTGACAAAAAATAACATGAAATTTTTTGAAAATTCAGGAACAAAAATTTTTATCCAAATTTCGATTTCATATTAGATTTTAGAAGTGGCTATTTTAGCTAATAAAATTGCATAGGACACAAAATATATTTTATTTATTGTATGGACAATTTATCTCGTTTATTTTTAATAATATTAAAAAATATTAAAAAATGTTTTATTATTTGCCATTTTTTCACCATTTTATTTAATTCTATAATTATGAATAAATATATAAAATATATAATTATGACATAAAAATGAGATAGATTAGACTTAAGATATTTAATCAATATATTAGACAAAAAAGACAATAAAATAAATCAAATATCGAAACCTAAAACATAAATTTTGTGAAATTAATATAGATGAAAAAAAAATAGAACAATTGTAAAAATTGTGCAATCAATATTAACTGTAAAATACCGCAAATGAAAATACATAGAAATATAGATAAGAAAAACAAATAAGAAAACAATAACAAGAAAATAAAAATTAACCGTACCAACAATATAACTATTTTAAATAACAAATTTTATCAAATACTAAATAAGATAGAATAAGAATTAAGATTTAGCGCCATCTCGTAAGTTCTTTTAGAAAAATACCAAAATTATTTTTTTCAAAGTATTTAAGAAATAGCATTGATATAATTCTTATTTTCTCTCTATTTTTTTCTTTTTTTCAACTATTTGTTCTTCTATATGTAAGTTTTAATTACGATACTTTAGATATGATGCTGATTTCTAAATTTTTATTATTTTTTTAATTTTTTAGTATTTATTCTCCTTATTTATACTTGCTTTGTAAATTCACGCGCTAATATTGATTCATCAAAATAAACCGTAAAATGCATATTTTTAAACATTTTAATTTCATAATTTTGATGTAATGATTTGCTAACATTAAGTTTTTTATTACATTCTTTATTAAGTTTTTTTTAACACTTCTTTCATGTTTTTCTAATTTATTTTTTCTTAATTTAGTTTTCCTTAATTTATTTTTTAAATATAAGGCTTAAATATGATTTTTTTTTATTGAAACAATGTGAAAAATATTGTTCAATATATGACGTAAGCACATACGAGATATCGAATCAACTGTCATTGTGATGTTTTATGTAATCAGTGGAATGTATATTTAAGTAAAAGAAAATAATTTAAATATGAATTTTTATTCGATTAAAAATAAACTCTTATATAAAAATTCTTATATAATTTATATTACATTTTTCATATTGAGTGTGTGGATTGTAAAATCATGTGCACAAGAAAATTCTAACCTTAAACATGAAAATATCACATTAGATGTATTAAAAGATTCTATGTCAAGGAATTTGAATACCGATATATTAATAGAACATACATTAAATAATTCTAATAATAATAATTTAAAATTAAATATTCCAAACATAGTAAATATATCTCAAAATGTATTTACAACTACAATCCGATCAGATCATGACTTTAATAATCAAACAACAGAAAAAATTAATATATTGCCTATGAATATTACTAATAATAAAAATGGAAACAATATATTAGATTTCACAATTCCATCACAAAGTTCAGACATTAATAACACAACTAATACAAGTACAACAACAGTTGTACCAGCAGAACCAGTATTACCTGATAAGGGATCTGCAGAAGAAGAACATAATAGTTCTATGTCCATATTTTTTGTCCTTTGTGTTTTAGCTTTAGGCATTTTACTTATACATCTTATGTTACAAACAAATTTTCAATATCTACCAGAATCTGTAGTAATTGTTTTCTTAGGAGGAGCTATTGGTATGATTATAAATCTTATGTCAAATCAAAATATAGCTAATTGGAGAAAAGAAGAAGCCTTTTCTCCCACTGCATTCTTTCTTGTACTTCTTCCACCTATTATATTTGAATCAGGATATAATTTGCACAAAGGAAATTTTTTTCAAAATATTGGTAGTATTTTGGTTTTTGCTATATTTGGTACAGCAATATCAGCATTTGTTATTGGAGCTGGAATTTATTTGTTGGGATTAGCTCAGGTAGCATATAAACTTAGTTTTGTTGAAAGTTTTGCATTTGGATCATTAATATCAGCAGTAGATCCTGTTGCTACTGTAGCTATATTTCATGCCTTAGAAGTAGATCCAGTATTAAATATGTTAGTTTTTGGTGAATCTATTTTAAATGATGCTATTTCTATTGTATTAACTACATCTGTATTGGAATCCAATAATGCAACAACTACTAGTGAAGCTATTATACTTGGCTTAAACAGATTTTGTCTTATGTTTTTTGCCTCTGCTGGCATTGGAGTTGTTTTTGCTCTTATAAGTGCATTATTACTTAAACATGTGGATCTCAGAAAAAATCCTTCCCTTGAGTTTGGACTTATGTTAGTATTTACTTATGCTCCTTATGTTCTGGCAGAAGGCATACAATTATCTGGTATGAATATAAATTTTCAAAATATTTTAATATAATAAAATAAGTTAATAATATAATAAAATAAGTAATTTAATGTTTAAATATAAAATTATTTCAGGTATTATGGCAATTTTATTTAATGGAATTGTAATGTCACATTATACACATTTCAATTTATCAACTGTTACTCAAATTACAATGCAACAAACTATGAGAACTTTAGCATTTATTGCTGAAACTTGTGTATTTGCTTATCTAGGATTAGCTCTATTTAGTTTTAGACACAGGGTAAAATAATATAATATAAAACTTTTAATTTTTGTAATATATTTTTATATTTTTAATTTTTGTAATATATTTTTATAATATTTTACAAATAATTTAATTGTTAATTATAGGTTGAACCAGCATTAATTATATGGTCTATAATTCTATGTTTAATTGGTAGAGCTGCAAACATTTTTCCTTTAGCCTTTCTTGTAAATCGTTTTCGGGAACATCAGATTACTAGAAAAATGATGTTCATAATGTGGTTTAGTGGACTACGTGGTGCTATTTCTTATGCTTTGTCATTACACTTGGATTTTAGTGATGAAACACGACATGTGATTATAACTACTACATTAATTATTGTATTATTTACAACATTAATATTTGGTGGTTCCACTATGCCATTATTAAAATTTTTAAGAGCAGAAAAGAAGCAAAAGAACAATAGTAGAAGAAAAAGGAAAGATAAAGAAGTTTCATTAAGTAAAACTAGAGAATGGGTATGTCTCATACATATATAAATACATATGAGAAAATATTTATCTAAAAAATATTTATATATACATATATATATTTTTTTCTTTAGGGACAAACAATAGACTCTGAACATTTATCAGAACTAACAGAAGAAGAAATTGAAGTATCTTTTCTTCAATCTCGAATTCGTGGTTTTGCAAGATGGGATTTAAAATTTTTTATTCCATTTTTCACAAGAAGATTTACTCAACAAGAATTGAAAGATTGTAAATCTCAAATGACAGATTTAACAAATCAATGGTATCAAGCTATTCGAATTAGTCCAATGGAATCTGATGATGAAGTAACAAGTGCATCAACAGCACAATTAAACATAAATTTATCAGTGGAAAATCAAAATCAAATACATGGAAAACAAAGTAAAAGACGTCCAAGTCATGGGTCTATATTAAGTATATAATTTATTTTGTGTGATGTGCTAAATGTGCTATCATTGCTCTGCTTATATTATAAATATATAAACTTTTATTGATAATAACATCCACTAAAATTTAACAAAAATATTTTCTGTGATTATAGTTTTTATTTTTGTTTGTATAATATTTCTAGTGTATATTTTTAAATATGAATTATAATTCATTTTATTGATTTATATTGAAATGGAATATTAATCTTTATGACAATAATATTAATATTATTTTTATATTATTATATTAATTATTATTTATTAGCTTCAGTAAACAGTTTACAATTGTTATATAACAACAAAAATTTAGTAAAGAAAATCATATAGCACTTAAACATTTGCTTTGCTATATCAAAGCTTATTGTTGGTGAGGGGTTATATTTAATATACATTAAAATTTTGAACCATTAATGAATTTAAAATTAATTTACAGAGAGGACGAAGATTGGTCTGATTAATTATTAAATAAATTTAGTATCAATTTAGTGTCATTAATGAATTACATAATAATAAATTTATTATTGAATATTTTATTTTTTGAATGAAAATATTATTATATACCAAAAATATATTTTATCTACCAATTTATATTGTAAAAATTTATATTATTAGTATTAAATTTGTACATATCATATATATACACAAAATTCAAATTTTTATATTTTATTAATATACAATTGATCACTAAAAATATTATTTAATTATATTTTTAAAATTAAATTACATATAAAATTATTTAATTTTATAAATAATGAATAAAAATAATTATTTTTTTATTTACTTTTATTATTACTTTTATTAATTTAATTAGAAATTGAATAATATAATTAAATAACATAATGAAGAATATTGAACACATGATTAAAAAAATTACTACTATTTAAATCACTGCACAAAAAGAAATTATATGTTTTAAAATAATTATGTTATATATCGTATAAAATAAATATTTATATAAATTATGAATATTTTAGCAAAAATACTTATTAGAAAATATAAATTTAAAATAAAATTAAAAATATGGATTATTGAAAGAATCTATAAATCTAAATTATTCAATCTATTTAAAAATAAATAAAGCAGAAATAATGATAAATTTTTTTAAATTAATTAATTTTGTTATGAATATATTGTAATATGTTTTTATTTGCATATATATATATATACAGAATAGAAATGAAAATTTTACAAGCTATTTTCTTCAAAATCATTGAAATTTGTATGAAATAAGAATTTACATGAAATATCTCAAATGATATAAATTTTTATGTATATATTTTTATGGAAAGTATTTTTTACTATAATTCTAATTTTGCAGAATAAAAAAAGATGAAATAACTGTTATTAAATCCAATATAGATATCTACATAAAAAAAATTGACATCATTTCATTTAAAAAAATGAAGATCAAATTTTTTTAATCATTATGAAATTTATTTTCATATTTTATAACTCAAAATATTAATCTAATTTATAACTAGTCTGATTTACATGTAAAAATTTCAAATCAATCTGCAATAATTTCGGAAAAAATAATTTGTAATGTTTTATTTGCCCTAGCCTATATTATACCATAAGAAGATATTTATATATTCTTTTTTTAAAGATTAAAATTTATAATAATCAATATTTAAAATGACATAAAAATTTAATTTAAACTTATTAGTCTTTATGCATTTATTGACTATATTATTCATAAATATTCTATATATTATTAAAGTATTATGTATAAAATGATTAAATACTTTGTACATATAATGTTTAAAATATTTTATTTTAATTTGTATGATATAAAAGATGTATTTTTAAATGAATATATATATTTTTATTACAATACTAATTTTCTAAAAAAAAAAAATAAATAAAAAGAATATTTTTAATTTTTCATATAATAATAAAAATTTATTTAAAATATTTTATTTTGAATATTTCTTTTATATCATGCCAATTTAAATCATAATATATGTGTTGTATTATATATGTATTGTATTTTTTTGTAACATTTTTATTTATCTAATAAACTCAAGTATTGTAATTTATAATTTTAATAATTAAAAGTTTACATAAAATTAAATTATATATGAATATAAATATATAGTTTGTACAATAAAATATTAAAAAAAAATAAATCTTTTTTTTATTGATTTTAGAGACTATGGAACTAAAAAAAATAATACAGTTAATTTTATTTTAATGTGTATTTATTTTTAATATCATATACCGATTTCAGGGTACACGGGTTTATCTTATTTTTCTGCGGCAGGGCACATAACGGAGGCAGCGTCTAAACATCAAATCCGTTTATTTGTTTGACTCGATATCTCTACTTTATTATGTCTACGTTTTTATGCCTCATCTGATCATTGATTGACTGGAGCACGAGGCATGTTTTTAAAAATGATTTGTTACAATTTCTTAATACCATAATTGATCTTTCACGGTATTTCCTTTTGAGTACAATGATATGAATATAAATGTATATAAAAAAAAGTAGTTTTGATTTTATGATATATTTTTTTTTTGTATAAGTGCAAAAACATCGAATATAAGAGATACCGTTATATGATCATTGTATGAAATTTAAATTCAATGTAAAATATTTTTAGGATAATTTAAGTTTATAAGATGAACAAAAATTCTATTCTTTACAAAAAGCATGCTTTTGGTTTTTTTTCATTTACTTTTTTTATAAATTATTTCTATTTAAATTATCTATTTTAATCAACCATTAATATAAGGGTAGATACTGTTATCTTTTTCATTAATAATAAAGTATTGTCTAAAAGCATAGCGGAGCATATTTGGCTCCTTTTTTTTTTGCTAATGCTCCAGTCAGTTTAATTATACATATTCTCTGTTCAAATATTATTCACGCATTAGATTATCCAATAAAATTCTAAAAAGAATCTTCATATATCATGAGCTTCTATATTTTTATCAATAGTTATATCCTTATTAATGCTCAGTACAGTACATTTGTGTATGTACAACATCGAGCAATCGACTAAGCATGCAGAGTTAAATAATTCTACAACGCTACGACCAATATGACTATATATCGATCCATAAAACAATATCATATCTCGATTCTATCCATTTATTACAGGAAATATTCCAAGGGATTATAATTTGACTAAATTGTCATATATAATCCATTAGATCTCTTTCTTAGATTCTCAAGCACTTTTCTATACTTATCGCAATTTTTTTAATGTAGACGCTTCAGTCTAAAAATGTGTAAAATTTCCAATTACATTTCAATATTTACAATACGTGTTAGACACGCCACAATTTACATAATATAACTTGGTGTTCATTTGAAATCTATTTTTTATTTTATTTTATCAAACTTCAAATTTTTCCATTCCAATCGACATCTGTATTTGTCGATCTATATTTTTGAACATTATAATATTACAAAAAATCACACATTATATTTTCCATTTACGCATTTTCTTGGTGTTGATATTGTTCATTCTTCCTTGGCGCATTAAATATTTTTATATTTAAGAAATAGAATATAATTTTATTTCTTTTTTTACATTTGAAAAATTTTATTCGAATTATATTAAATTAATATTAAGATTTCTTGAAAAATTCCAGTTCAGATGAATTTTAATAATAAAATGAGATTTTCTATCGAGCTTTGTCCACTCCATTTAATTGTTGCATGAAAATTTCAAGTTTGGGTCCCTGTATAAACAAGCTTCTTTGGCTTTGTTTAACTCTTCATTGATTTTTCTTTTTCTGTACTAAAATGATTGTTCTATAATATTGAAAAAAAATATGCGCAACGAGCTTTCATGTTTTAATATATGTATGAATACATTATTTGCACAAACTTTAGAAAGCGGAGGTGTATATATGGAGGAAAAGAAAAGGAAAGGAAAGGAAAGGAAAGGAAAGAAGGGAAGTTTTCGTACATCGTACATTGTACATTAAGCTATACACATTTTTTTAATGTTGATGTTTGTTAATTTCATCCTAACTAGCGCCAAAGCAGCGAATCACACCTACGTAAATTGTCATTCCATTTATTCTATGTATATATATATATATATATATATATATATATATAAATTTTTCGGTATGTATATTTGTAATGTGCGGCTATACGGTGAAATCGCATGTCTTTGAAATCTAAACTTTTACCAAAAAAGCCGATCATTTATTTGTCATACAACTGTTGTATGATTTAAGTTATCATTCATTTTTAATATTATCATATTTTATATTTTCTTGCTAAAGCGAAAATTATTATTAACGATACACAAACACATGATGATCGAATTATCGAACACCAATCATCAATTATAAAAATAACCAAGCGAAAATTCGAGATGTATTTCGGAAAAAATACTTATTTTGCTAATTCCTCGCATCCTTTTTGCATTTTTTTCCGGATTTCACTGGCCATGTTCCGTAACATAATGTGAATGTATATTTAATTATGACAACTTCGGTTACGTACTGTACAAATTCAATAGGATTGCCATCATCAGTCCCAAGATTATAATTACGGTGGGATCACATGATTACATGAGGATAGTTAAGTATCTATGATAATTTTAAATAAAAGTTTTGAATTTCATCGATCAGATAGAAGAAGCATTTTCATTAAGAATATGCACAGAAAATAAAAAATAAAATCAAACAAATCAAATCTTATCATGATCTTAATTATCAACTATCTCTTTTAAATATTGTAAAAGTCAATATTAACAATTCAGTATTTTCTTCTTTATCGTAGTACGTATAAATTTTAATTTTTATTAAATATGGAAATGAATTATAAATGTATTAAAATGACTAAAGTAGTGTCTTTGTAAGACTCATTGATTTACAAACTCTTAACGAAAATAAACATAACTAATTTTAAATGACCTACTTTAAGTAACTATTTTCCTCTTTTACCCAGAATAAACATATTCTCATCTAATGTAACACAATTAATAATAAAAGTTTTTTTTATATGCATTTCCACCAGTTTTGTTCAAAATACTTTTTAATCGATCATATTATTTTTGATAAAATGATATTAAATTGGCAGATACAGCGAAACTGAACATTTGTTTGGAAGCATAAATAGAATTCAACGATACAAAATATAATTGTAATGTTGAATAGTCAGTAATCGTATTGTTTCGCTTTTTTCGTTATAAAATAGAAGACAATTTATCGGCAGAGAGCTTAATAATCAGTCAATAGCTCGAAGTAAAGAAGGTCGCGCAGAACTTAACCGTAACACCGTATTTCTTTTTCTCATGATTATTTTATGAAATATTACCGAAATGTCAGTCATAATGTAGAAACTACTCTCTTTTTCATAATTGTACAATATATATATGATATATGCTTCTAGCAATATAAAGAAATATGTAATAAATTAAATGAAAGAAAACATATACCACAATTATTGAATGTCAGTTATCGTTCGAAATCCGACAGTGTATATGATTTTACCAAAATTCCATGACTTATTCTTTTTTATATTATTTTTGTATTACTCATATATTATAAATAAAATATATATATGTATATATATATATATATATATATATATGATTATTATGAGTTTACTACAAATTCAAATTCTAGAATTTCTTCATTGTAATTGAATAAAGTATGCACTGTCTTATTCCGAATCATACCAATTGTTTACCAAGAATCTGGCGACCAACTCTTAATTATACTAATATTATATATTTATGTATTTCTGCATTCATTGAATTTGTACAAAGATTCAGTTGCTTAAACACACGTTCCGGCGTATGCGTTATGAGTATTATTTAATCAAGACAGTAATAGTAATGATTATTAAACTTTCTTGAACACTAATTAAGCACGAGGAGAGATCACAGAGAAAAAACCTGCTATCAATAAATTTCGAATAATCAATTTAATGCAAAAAAATATTTTAATGAAAATTTTAATATTCATTATAGCATAACAATGGGCCTGCCCTTTCCTAAAGTACATTATGAGTAGGTCCCATGACTCTTGGGATATTTGATAAATTAAGTGACAAATAGTAATATAAAGGATAATATAACGATGACCATGTAAAATAATAAAGTACTACGAAATTTTAATTTAAGATAGCATCACTAAATGAAAAACATGTTTTAACAAATTTATAAATACACAAGTAGGCAGCCATCGTCGAGAGTGTTACAATTAGAAGCATATTCAACTACTGCAAATATTGGAATTTGGTGGAATGTAGCAAGTTCTTTCTTTTCCAATTGTTTTGGTATTAGATAACTCCTATTTACTGTATAAAATTAATCACAATAATAGACATAAATGATAATCATAAAATTATTAACAGATAAAAAAGATAAAAAACAATTCTAAATTATAATTTATAAGATACATTTTTAATAATTTTGCATCCTATAATATTAAATATTATAATATATTATAATATTATTATAAAATAATATTATACATATATATAATATTTTATATTGAATAATTTTTACTGTGCGTTTTTAGTGATAATACATTCATTATGCAAAAATAAAACAATATATATAAGATGAAAGAACCTGGCCATTGCTGATCATTATCTCTTGTTACACTCTCGACTTATAATTACGTCAGGATGGTAGAAGTATAGAGTTGAAGAATTTAAAGATAAAACGATAAAAAACATGATCACTTTTTAATTTGCAGCCATGGATGCTTCAGGCACTCTGCTGCTGTAGCTCGCGTACTCGGGTCAAACTCGAGCATCGGAGTTAGGAACTCTTCAAACTCGCGCGCTTCTCTTGGTGACCAGTCATATTTTTCTGTAAGCACCTCGTACAGTCCCCAAGGTTTTAATCCAGTAATTCGTTTCAATTCACCTTTTTTGTTGAAATACATTTTTGAGTTTTTGCCAGAAAGAGCAATGTGTCTTGGTATTTCTCCAAGCAATTCAATAATGTGTGCTAAATGATCTTCATCTCTATAATAAAAAACAAAATATATTTTATATCATATTACAAATATGAACAATTTTTTTTGAATGATTACAAAAAATGGTACTTTACCTGCAATAATAATTACCACTATGTGGCTCAAAAAGATAATCACCAGTTGCTAATTCAAATGCCATGCAGGCAGTGGACCATATATCTGCAGATGTATCATATCCAGATCCTAATAATACTTCTAATGATCTATATTGACGAGTTTGAATATCATCTGTAAATTTTTTATGGACCCAACATGCATTACCAAGATCTGCTATTTTCACTTCAACATCACATTCTACTAGGGCAGGATCTAAAGGAGCTACACATGCTCTTTTTAATTGTTTACTTTCAGGTGGATGTAAATTGCGGCCTACAGAAAAAAGTAAATATGAAATTAATATAATTATTTATATATACCAAAATTACTTTTTGAAAGATTACCTTCACTACATTCATCTGTATCTTCATGATCAGGTGAATGTATTGTTTCACCACAATTTTTTTCTACATCGCATGAATTTGCATTTTCCATCTTTTCTGATTGTTGAGGTATTTGATTTTCTATTTTTTCTTCAACCGTTAAACTATCAACACCATTTATATGCAATGAAGGTGCAGATGGTTCTGAAATGTCAGGTGAACCTTTACTTTCTGTATTATCATCTATACTTTCTGTGTTTATATCTTGATCTGGACTATTTGTTTCTAATTCTCCATTTGCTCTTGTGCTATTTGCAAGTTTATCTTGCTCTTCAAGTTCTTCTATTTGTTCCATTTGTTTCTTTAATAATTCATTTTGACGTTTTGCTTTCTTCTTAAGTTTTTTTTTCTTATTTTTTGACATTTTAGAATTAGGAGTGGGTTCTTGGAATTCCTTTGGTGCAGTTGAAATCAAAGATACTGGCAATTTCATTCCAAGTGAATGTAATTCTGTTGCTTCACAAGCTAATTTTCTTATATAAGCTTCATCAACACAAACAAGAACATTTTCAGGTTTAATATCTGTATGAATAATTTTACCTATAAAGAAAAACACAAAAATATTTTGTTAATAATTAATTTTTGTGATAATAATATTAAATATTTCAAATTTATTTCAAATTTATGTAAAATTAAAACTTATTAACAAAAATTAATATTATCTAATAAAATAATATTAATCAAATGTTTTTCAGTATAAAAATCTTACATTTATTATGTAGATAATCAAGACCTTCAAGAACTTGTCTAATGATACGTTTAACATTATTTCTTGGAATTCCTCTATAGTTAGATTTGATAATCAATTTAAGAAGATTATGCCCAAGAACTTCAAATACCATACAAACATGCAAACCATTAATGCCACTAATCTTGAAGTCATTGAGTAATTGGACGGTTTTATTACGCTTAGGATCACTAGGATCTGTATCACGTACATCTTTTAATAATTTAATTTCATCCAATGCAGTTTCAGTAAAATGAGATGCAGATTTGACCACTTTAAGTGCTACAAATCGTTTATCCTACAGAACATATTTTAAAACATAATATTTATAAATTTATTTTAAAAAATACATATCTTCTTCTTAATCAAATATATACCTGTAAATCCCAACAAAGCCAGACTGTTGAAAAATGACCCCAACCAAGCTTACGAGTTACATGATAGCGATTTAAGAATAAATCTCCTATTTTAACAGGATGATATCCCCCTTTGCAATAATCACTGCTGTCTTCTTGTTCTTCATCTTCACTACTGTATACTTCATCACCATCTTCCATTGTTTCATTACTTGAGCTATGACATGGTTCCAATCTGTAAGTTTTAGTTAGGAAAAGGTAGGGAGCAAACACGAATTAGAAAATAAAAGACTATAAACTGTTTTCAAAAATTTTCATGGGATTAGCAAAACAGATAATTTATAAATTCTATTATTTCATAATAAAATGATATTAATAATACATTTTTAAAAAATATAGATATTATTTTTCACTGAAATATTCCATAATAAAACTGATCATTTTGCAATATAAAAAAAATTCGATAAGAAATTCCATACGAATACTTATTACATCGAAAAAATTTATATAAATTCATAAACGAGAAACTGTCAACGAAAAGAATACCAAATTAATAAAATAAAATGACAATGATATTTGAATACCTATTTCCATTATCACTGGAATATGGTCTTTGTGCAGAAGCATCCTGATAGAAACTCGATCCTTGTCCTTGTTGAGTAGTCGATGCCTTTGAACATTGAGCTCCTGATGTTTCTGATTCATCTTGAATATTTGCTTTTCCTTTTCGTTTGCTTGGCTTGTGCCTTTTTTTTTTGGCCTGAATCGCTAGGACCCGCCTGTTCACGTCTGTCTTTGCACTCATACCGTTCCGTGCGCCTCGATTCGTCGGGCCGCTTTCCTCTTTCTTCACACTTCCCACACTTCCGTTTTTACTTCCTTTTGTAATTTTTTCCTATATGTTTTAATGGAGGCACTTACACCCGTTACCGTTTCCCCGGGTTTACGAACGATATAATACAGTTTATTATCGTTTCATTTCTGCGCTATGCCGCGCACTTCGCTCGGCGGTTGTTTGAGTATGGCCGCCCCCGCCGTCACCGTGTCTTCGTCTCTCGTTTCGAGTAAAGCAGGTGTCGTTCTACAGGTCGTCAATATTGTATTTATCAATGCACTTCCACCTTCTACTTAAATTGCCTGTTACATCGGCAATACACTCGCACTAAAATTTTTCTTCTCTGATTTAGTCGCAACCTTCTACTTCTGCCTTCGTTAATAATTAGTACTCAATAGTTCCTTTTCTATGCCGTGGTAGCAGACGAGGCTCAAATTCGCTAAGTCTTTAAATAATTATTTTATAGTTTCAGATGCTTTTGATAAGTCTTCTTAAAATCTCTATACTGTTCTTTAATGAAATTCATAGAATATTTTATACTTAGCTTAAGTTTCTCGTGAAAGAACATCATATACATTTTATAATCAATTGCAGTACAACCAATCGGAAAAGTGTATGTTATCTAATTATATAATGTAACAAATACAAATATTGTACAGAAATAATTTATTGAAAATATTATCTATATTATCTATACTAAAATTAATCGTTTAATATTTATTTAAAAATGATTTTATCAATATTTTTAATTTATTCATTATAACAATTATTTTTTTATATTTTATATAAAATTATTGTTATATAAAAAAATATTATTTCTATATATAAAAAAAAATAAATAACTTTTAATAACAACCATGAACAATAAAATTTAAACAAGAAATATTTCATAATAATCATATGATAACTAAGCAATTTGTTAGAAGATGGCAATACTATATACTTGATTCATTATATCTAAAAGTTTCATCAACTATATATGACATATTTTTGGTTATAACCAAAAAATATTTTTGTGGGTGACGTTTGATCTTAGAATCTTTTTAGATTATTCAACGCATGATTTGATTTGTTACTTGATATTTATATGTTTTACATACTATATTAAAAAAATATTAATAAAATGGATACGATATTTCATGAAAAGGTAAATAATAATATGCGTGAGTATTTAATGATTTTTTAAATATAAATTATTTCAATGGAAAAGTTTGTTACAGCAAGAAGGATTTTTATGCGCACAACATTGTTTAAATGCACTTTTACAAGGTCCATATTATAATGCTGTAGATCTTGCTAGTTTAGGTCATCAAATGGATGAAGAAGAAAGGATAAGAATGGCAGAATCTGGTGTTGACAGTGAAGATTATAAACTTTTTCTAGAGGTGAATCTGTGCATTGTAACTATTTTTATATTATTTATAGTGTATTGCAGAATATAAAAAAAAGATTTTAAATATTTTGTTATATATATTCATTTATTTTATTTGAAATATTAATTATTATACTAATATCGTTATATGTGGTAAAGGGCATTAATTATTTTGCTTAGCAACCATCAGGAAACATGGATGACAGTGGCTACTTCTCAGTTCAAGTAATTAGTAGTGCATTAAAAGTTTGGGGATTAGAATTAATTCCATATAATAGTACAGAATCTGCAGCTATAATGGCACAGAATGACCCTTTGTATGTTATTCAATTTTTTTCATTTAAAGAATTTTTATTTAAATTCGAAATATTCATAAAGTATACTTATCTTGCATTAATATTAAATAATAAAATTGAAAAATGAATACATTATATAATAAAAAATAAAATTATATTATGTATAAATTATGTATTAAAATATAGTTATATTTTATAATATATATAATTTTTAGACAGATGAAAGCATATATTTGTAATTACAAAGGTCATTGGTTTACTATAAGAAAGATTGGAAAGCAATGGTTTAATTTAAATTCAGTATTAAGTGGACCAGAACTTATATCGGATACTTATCTTTCTATGTATTTAGCTCAGTTATTACAAGAAGGTAATATTTAGTGAAATATAATAAAGAATAAAATTATAGATACAAAATTATATATTTTTATAGGTTATTCTATTTTTATTGTTATTGGTGCACTTCCACAATGTCCTGCAGATGATATTCTTATGAAAAATCCAATAGAACCTATGTCAAAAGGACAAACGTCATTAAAAACAAAAACAAAAGGTTATTATCTGAATATTAAGTAAAACTTTAAATATAATGTTTTTTTCTCTCCATTGAAGATTTTATTGTAATCATATATTTTTTCTAAAATAAGATTGTCTGGTTTTACAGGTATAAGTAATAATGTAATATCAAATACATTTACCAGAGCATTATCTAGTAAAGAAAAAGTATCAACAAATAAACTACAAGAAAAGATAATTCCCATAAAAATTGAAAAAAATGATGAAGAAGATGATGAAAATGCAGAATTACAAAGGGCACTTCAATTAAGTTTTGAAGAGAATAAAAGAAATGATGTAGATAAATATCTTAAATTAAGTTTGGATTTTCATGATTACAATAAAAAAACATGTGGGACTGATGACGTAGATGAGGATGATGATTTAAGAAGAGCTCTTCAATTAAGTTTAGAATGTGCTACAGCTCCATCAACACCAGAATCTGAAGACTTACATTGGCATCAATTAAATCACTTTGGTACATATTCAAGGACATCAAATGGAGAAACTTCACAAAAATTGAATATTTAATAATATGTGCAAGAATATTTTTAATATTATTATTAAAATAAATTTTATTTGTAAATTATAAATAATTAGTTACTTTGTGTGTAGTATGAATAAGTATTTCAAAAATAAATGTATAAATAAAAGATCTGTACATGTTATAAGTTTTAAAGAGCATTATTAGTTTATTTTACCAATCTTAAAACTTGTTATTAAAAGACTATTTATATCTTATATTTATATCTTAATTAAATACTAAAAATTTTGTCTTTTGGTACTTTTGATATTTTTAGCAAAATATTAAAATTGACAGTTTTTTGAACGCACTTTAATATCATTGGTTTAAATTTTTCCGGAACATTACTCAAAAACGTTATGTTAAGAACACACTTTTATTTTTATATGTATTCTATTTCTATAATCAAATAAATATTTATTCTTTGTCAAATTTATTAACTTTTAAATATAAATTTATGATTTTTTATATTTATAATAGAACATGCAAATTGTTTTTGCGACAATATTACCAGATGGCTATGAACCCAAATTTTTAACTGTAGTCACTCTGTAGTTGCTCCTGTTTTGTATGTGAATACTGAATGTTGACATTCAACATGGCGGCATGTCGTCAGTGCTGTGCTGTGTCGTGGTGAGTTTTATAAATCTTTTTAAAGTTATTCGATTACGAGCTTTACAATGAAACATTCATAATGATTATAATTATTTCTTTCTTGACAGTTATATTCATATTTTATAAGTATAGAAAATTTCAGTAAATCTTTATGATATGTAAAGAAACGAGTGACCTCATAAAAAATTAGAATCTCATAACTGGCGAGCATGTACAATATTTCGGATTTTTGTTTGACTATATCTTGTAAAAGTTATCATTATTTTAAATTCAAAATTACTTTTATGATGTTTCGTTAAGCAAAATATATGTTTATTTACTTTTGAGAAATTTGTAATACTTATATTGTTAGATATATTTCAAACATTTTCATATAGGTATCCAACTATTACATTCCATTTACAGCAAAATTCGAAAATAATGATTTAAACAACAAATTGATGATAAGATATTTTTATTATTTGTATAATATTAATAAGGGAAACTTTGAATATAAATAAAATCTCAAGAAATAAATAAAAAACATTGAAAGAACTGTACCAGTTGGAGCATAAAAAGTCAATGTCAAATTAGTAGTCAATTATTGTCAATATCTTATTTATCTTATGTATAACCATAAATAGGATATAATAAATATATTATAGATTTCTATATATAATTGTATATTATTATAATATGAAAAGAAAAATATATAATAACCTATATATACAAGAGATATTTTTTTCATCTCTGTTAAAAACTTATTTTTTTAGTTTATTCAAAATAGAACTTTTATTTTCAATGCATCCATAATAATATCCATAATATAATAGAATTATATTAATAAAAATTTATCAAAATTAGTAAATTAGTATGATAAAATAAATTTTTTTTTTTCAATATAAAATATAAATTATAACTAAAATTTATAAATTTTGATATGTGTATATATATATGTGTTTATAAATATATATAGATATATAAAATGCATAATATCTTATTTAAAATATATAAACTTTGATTTACATTTAAATTTTAACATTTTAACATTTATATTTAAACAATATTATTTGTTTTTTTATTTTGGCAAAATATTTTATTTAAATATAATCATATAATTAACTATTATTATTATAAATACATCTTAAATAATAAAAAAATGAAATATTTATTTATGATATTATTATTATTAAAATCTTTTTTTATAGTAAAGCTCATAATCTTATTAAAATATATTATTTTTTTAGTGTTTAATTATATTAATATGACAAAATATTTTTTATTTCAGCTTGTGTAATTGTTAGTTTAGGACACTTTTGAAACCAAGGCTCACTGTAAATTCCATAATTAAATGCTGAAGAAAGAAACGCTAACATAGAAATATTGGAACAACACAATCACACTCAGCACGCATTGAAGACATCTGAGGATTTCAAGTCAACATTTATCTTTTAAATCTCCTATGTTTTTTGATTTACTCCTTTTATAAAGGATGACTGCTGTTTAAAAGGAACACAGTTATTCTAGTGTACGCTATATTGAGTAAATATCAAACAGTTGTTATAACACGTGCATACGTATGTGGAAAGTATCAATGGTCTATGATGTGCTAAGAATTTTGTACTTGTATTAATTCATAAATCAACATTAACTATATTGTTCATTTGTATATTGTGTACACAAGCTTTGTGAGAAAGAGTTAGGTGAGCTATAAAGTGACCGTGATTGTGATTGCGGCTGAGATTGTGCTGCTCTTGACTAATAAAACATTTGTATTTGTATTTAAAGAGTGCCAATTTTGCACAGAGTTGCCTGGGTACTCTTTTATAAATAATTTATGACAAACGTCAAAATATTTTCAAATCCTTCCTTCCACTTCTTGGTCACAAAGAAGCCTGCATTTCTGCAGCATTTTTAAGAGCCTCTCTTCCTCTGTATTAAGTTCTTGTAACATTATAATAGTGAATGAAGATATAAGGTACCAAGAACCATTCTGTGATATCTATGTTAACACTTAAATAATTGAAAAGACTAAAAATTTCTAAATATAAGTATATATATATATATATATATATAAATATATATATATTGTGGTGAAACAGAAGTGAACATAAAAAAGAAATTAAGTAATTATTTCAAGAAAAGAGGAAAACTTATACGTAAAGATTACATTTAAAATTGTGCAAATTTGAGACAATGTCCAACAATCCTCAGTGGAAAACGTTCCAGCCGCCAATCATGAACTCTGACCCTGCAATACTTGATTACAAGTCTATGACTATACCAAGTCCTAAAGTTATAACAGGATCACATCAACCAACAACTAATATCTACAGAAATGGTACCAATTATAGTGGAGATCATTATATGATGGATTCACCTCCTGGAAATGGAAAAAACACAATACAATATGCTGGTTATCCCAACACTAAGATGTCACGTAATGAAGTTACCAGATTTCCTTTTGGAACATTTACAGGAATGGAAGGAAGCACTGGTTATACAGAAGAGCCAACAACAAATAACTCCACTTATCAGGATCAATCTGAAAACCAAGGAACTCGAGAAACTGGAATAATTGAAAAATTATTGGTGAAAATTTTATTTTATTTTTAATATTCATTTTATTATGTACAAAATTGCAATTTTTATTTTTTTCTAGCATTCATATGGATTTATACAATGCTGTGAAAGACAAGCAAGGTTGTTCTTTCATTTTAGCCAATTTAGTGGTAACATAGAACATTTAAAAATTGGAGATCCTGTTGAATTTGAAATGACTTATGATCGTCGGACAGGCAAACCTATTGCTAGTACTGTTAGTAAGATTGCTCCAGAAGTGGTTAGTATATTATTAATATATTTATATAAAATGCCAGAATAATCTAAAGTTGTATAACCAAAATATTCAAACATATAAAATACTAAAATATATAAAATTTTATAATATAGGTGCTAAGTGAAGAAAGAGTTACTGGAAATGTAACAACAGAATTGCATACAAGTGGTGATACACAAGGTCGTATTAGTTATGAAAATCGTGGAGAATGTTTTTTTCTGCCATATACAAAAGATGATGTTGAAGGAAATGTTACTTTGCGTGCTGGTGATAAAGTGTCATTTCAAATTGCTACTAATCAACGGTAAATAATTTATTAAATAATTTATTTAAATATTATATTATTTATTTAAAATATATTAAAATAAATATAGGGTATTATTACTTATTACAATATATATATATATTGTATATAATATCACATCAGGTAAAATTATTATAATACTGCATTTTAATTACAGAGGAAATTTAGGTGCATGTCATGTAAGATTGGAAAATCCAGTACATCCAGTTCGCTATCGTGGAGTTGTATGCTCAATGAAAGAAAATTTCGGCTTCATTGAACGTGCTGACGTAGTAAAAGAGATTTTCTTTCACTTTAGCGAAGCTAAGTCTATGAAAGAAGAACTTAGACTGGGAGATGATGTAGAATTTATAATACAAACTCGAAATGTAAATATTTTTATTCTTTATTTCTTGTATATATTCTTATATATATTCTTGTATATAAACAATTGTTAAACAACAATATTAATTCTTTGCATAAATTTAATTAATTATTAATTATTAATATTTTAAGGGAAAAGAAGTAGCTTGTAATATTACTAAGCTACCACCTGGGTCAATAGTCTTTGAAGAAGTTAGTAATAAAATAGTAACAGGACAAGTATTGAAACCTCTGGAAAGGGGTACTGCAGCTCGTCATCAAAATGATCCTTTACCTGGAAGAATTCGGTATAGAGATACAGAACATTCTTCAGATACAGTTGAAATTCCTTTTGGTGATAAGGATCAAAAAGGAGATTTTACTCTTAGGTTTTATACTTATAAATTATTTTTATTTATTTCTATTTTTCATTTATTTAATTATGACTTAATATGATTTTTAGACATGGGGACTGGGTCAAATTTCGTATTGCTACAGATACTAGAGATCAACTCAAAAGAGCTACTGAAATATTATTATTACCTGAATCTTTTAATGTATCCGGTGAAAAACGAGAACAAGGCATTATAGCTGCACTAAAAGATGGATTTGGTTTTATTCGTTGTGTAGATCGAGATACACGACTTTTCTTTCATTTTAATGAAGTTTTGGATGTTGATAGAGAAATTAGTGTAGGGGATGAAGTTGAATTCACAGTAATTCAAGTAAGAACAATGCATCTAGAATTTATTTTATTTTTTTTAAGTATATTTTAATTAAATTTTTGTATTAGGATCCTTCTTCCTCATTTTCAAACAATCGACAAAGTGCAATTAGATTAAAGCACTTACCGGCTGGTACAGTTCAATTTGAAACAATTATAGAAAAAGATTTATTGGGTACTATAATTCAGAGTATAAATGGCGTTGTGCCTGGTCTAATTGGATACACAAAAGAAAATCAACAAAAAAGTGTCATTTTCTTTAGTAAAGATTGTGATCCTAAGAATATCCCAAGACTTGGTGATAAGGTATATTAATATATATATATACATATATGCAATATTATGATTTTATTAATACATTTTTTAAAAGTATTGGTATTTTAGGTTCAATTTAGTATCTGTCAAGTAAAACGGAATAAAGAACTTGTTGCTGTCGACATATCTCTAATGAACTCTTCCGGTGAAAAAACTCAAAATGGCAACAAAAAACTAAATGGACAAATTTGTCAAGGTTTTATTGCTGCACTTAAAGATGGATTTGGTTTTATTGAAACTGTAAATCATGATAAAGAAATATTTTTTCACTTCAGGTGAATAATTTAAATATATTTGAGAATATTATATTTTGAATATCTTTTATAATAATATTTGTATTTTTTAGTAATTTTGAAGGGGATGTTAATGCTTTAGAAGTAGGAGCTGATATTGAATGTACAATCAGTTCTGGAAATGGTAGAGGTAATGGTGGTTGTGTAGCTGCGGATTACGTTAAATTGGTACCTCGTGGAAGTATTCCTAGGCCAACACCAGTTAGTGAAGTGCTTGATGGAACAGTTATCAGACCTTTACGAAGTGCAAATCCTGACCAGGCAGAGTATGCTGGCTTAATAAAAATAAATGCTACTAATGAAGATGAAGATACTCCGGAATATGAATTCAGAATTATGGGACTTGTCAATAAACGTGAGCTGTTACAAGCTGGTGATCCTGTACAATTACAGGTGGATTCAGCAGGTCATGCTTGTAATATCGTAGCAGTTAGAAAAAAAAGAAGAGCAACAGTTGATGCAGTAAAAGGCCCTTTTGGTTTTCTTGCATATGAAGTTGATGAGGGTAAGAAATTATTTTTCCACATGAGTGAAGTTCGAGATCATGCAATACTTCAACCAGGAGATCAGGTTGAATTCGTTTTAATTACGAATCAGCGTACTGGTAAATCATCTGCATGCAATGTAACACGATTAAGGTGAATTTTCTATAATATTATATTTACATGTTTTATTATACTATTAATATTAATTCTCATATTTTTTCTCTTTATTGTATAGTGATACTGTTCAACAACGACCCGAACGTTTAATCAGTCGATTGCGCACTACATCTTTGGAAGATACAGGTCCTAAATTAACTATAGTTAGACAACCAAGAGGGCCAGATGGCACACGTGGATTTAGTCAAGAAAGATCACAGCATACTCCTGGTGCTATCCAAGAGTAATGTTGTATTGAAAGGATTATTGCTTATCCAAATTGTAATCTACATTACTTGTTTTTAGTCCATACACTTCGGTACCGAGATTATTATTATTATAAGCATCGTAAACATTTGCCAAATTGAGACTAATGTGACAACAATAATAACATTGATAATCGATTGGATCATGATCTTGTTGAGAAAAAAAATATAAACTAAAAAAACAACGAGTCATTTTATCATCTTATAAAATATGAAAATAATCAGGAAGGCAGTTTGTCTGAACTACTTCAATTTCTTTAAAAAATTTACTGAATTTTTTTTTTTTTTTTTTTTTTTTTTTTTTTTTTTTTTTTTTTTTTTTAACATGTAATAGACTTTTATATAATTATAAACAATGATTATGAAATATTATTAGAACTTCTAATTATTACACATTTTCTTTCCAATAAAAATTGTAAAAATGTTTCATCATTCAAATAATTTAACATTGAACTGTTTGACAATCTGCCTGTTTGTAATGTTCAAAGATAATGTCCCGTCTATCTTTATAAAAATATACGTACATGTTGATAAAATCTTTATTTATATTATTTTATTTAGAATATTTGTTTTACCCGCAATATATATCACAATCAGTTTAAATAACGTATAATAGTAAAAAAATCAGTGTCATATGCACTACAGCATATATGATAACATTGATTGGCCATATAATCAAAAAAGAAGAAAACTGCATTCATATTATTTACTGAAATTTATGAATTTTATAGTCCAAGAAGCAGACATGTGTTCTATTATATAAATTATTGTAACGTGTTACTCTGTTGAGAAAATGTCTATGAATTTGTAAAAAGTTACAACTGGCCAATTGTTTGTCCTAGATAATATATAACATATAAATATATATACATGTCGTTAAGTTCCTGATGCAGTCTCGTGTTAAAATATAAAATCAAATTAGTATTATGGATTCAGTCGATATATACAAGAAAATTATAAGAAGTACTTATGTGAAAAGTAAAAAAAAATTGCATTTTATAAGTTTTGCCATCAAAAACAAACGAGGTACACGTGGCATTATAGAAAATAGATGAAAGAAGTAAAGTAATGATGTGCATTAATGCAAGCACGATACAAACTAAATGTTTGTTCGAAAATTCATGGATCCAACACATCATGTGCATACATATTGTAAAATTATTGATGAATAAACAGTGAAAATATCAAAGATAATTTCTTTTCTATGAATCTCAGAGATTTTAAAAACATAAAAAATTGAAATTTTTATAGATTATAATTTTTTTTAAGAATTATTTTTTATATTTTTTTAATTTTTAATAACACAAGAAAAATTATATATACAATATATTTATTATGTATGTACAAAGATGTGTAAATTTTTGCAAAATATGTTTATTTTTTGTACTTAACATGTTAAATGTATTTAATAGATTAAAAAAAGGCAAGTTGAATTAGATCACAACACATTCATAAGGAAAGAGTCCTCGGAAACGTTGATTATTTGGACCTGGACAAGCTGCAAAATATATAATTTTATTTAAAAGATATTTCAATATTTTTTTATTTATTATACTTATTAAATTTTGTCATGGTATATTTTATTATAATAATATATCTTTAAATAATTAAAAATTCGTATGTTTAAATAATTAAAAATTGAGTAAAATGTTTTTTATCATTTCAAATTACTAATTTATATGAAACATGAAACATGCGCGAATGCAAAATTTATAATTTAATTTTTTAATGATAGAAATTACTAACGTTTATCACAGTGTGATCCATAATAACCAGTTCCTTCACAGCGACATTTAAATCCAGGTTCTGATGATATTTGTAAGCATGATCCTCCATTTAAACAAGGTTTTGCTCGATAACATATATCGCTACGCTTACCTAAAAAAAAAATAATTATTCGAATCTTTTAATATTGAATTTTCAAATCAATATTGAATATTTTTACTTTTTTAAATATTTATGGAAAAAATATCTATGAATAATAACATTTAATATTATGGCTGAAATTAACAGGTAAGTTGTTACCTCTTAACGCTTCTTTGCAATCTTCATTACTATTATATCTGTACTCAGAAGAACAACCATAACCGCATCTGCATTGTGCATTATAGATACGACATCCATATTGCATTTGATCCAAATCGCAAGCATTAGTTTTTGATAGTGTGTCTATTATTATAATTAAGATAAAATATTTTAATAATATAATTCATAATAGTTAAATTATAATTATGTATTTTTAATTCATAAATATTAATACATCGTCTAATTTATCAATTAAAATAATTAATTTTTTTAATCACTTATTTTTATTTTTTTATTAAAAAATATAATATCATATTACTTAACTTAAGAATATTTTCATATTTAATTTTACTTCTAGATAAATTTTATTTAAAATTTTATCATGAGATTAAATGATAATATTGTAATAGAATATTCTTCTATCAATAGATGATAAATAAAATTTCGTGAAATCATTATATATATATATATATATATATATATATATATATAATAGTATATAACAAAATTTAATATAATAAATCTAAAATGAAGAATTTAGAAATTGAAAAGAATGTATTTATTAAAATTAAGTAATAAAATTAATATTTAAACACAATTCTGCATTTTATCTACAATATTTTTTTCATGAATGTTGTCTATTTACAATGAATGTATCTGCAGTTTATTTACCCTGAAAAGATAATATAATGAAAGAGAATACTGGAGGCAATTATATTTACTATTAAATGTGTTCATTACATTTTCTATTTGACTGAATTGATAAATATTTAACAAGATAAAATATATTTGTTCAAATTGATTTTGTAATATGCAAATTATTATTTTTATTATAGTTTTTTAAATGAATTATTATTTGAAAAGAATCTTTCTTATTTGTAATTAATAAAAAAAATTATTAATTATAAATTTTGTAAAGTACAATAAGTAGGAGGAAATGTATGTAATCATCAAAAGTATATTTCATTATCGTGATACATTATCTGTTTACTCGGTGAATGAACCGAGATGTTTCCTTTAACGGAACAGTTGCATTTATTTTATTAAGTAAATTACTATCATTTAACTTAATGTCTTTTAAGAAAAATACAAGAAATAGAGCACTATGTAAAAATAACTTTTCCACAATCTTGAAATAAAATTTTTAACATTTAGAAATGTTAAAATCTTTTAATATATTTTTTATTATTATATTATATGTAATATATGTTATTTTATATAATATTATATTTTTTAATTATTTTATATAATTAAGAAAAGATATAAAAACAAAGTTTTTTACTGTAATATAGTGATTAAATTTGAAGATGAATATAAACTTATAAGATCGAGAAATCAATATTTATGGTAATGTAATTCTTATAATATATGATCAATCTAATAAGTTATAAAGAAGTAAAATGTTTATAATTAAATATTATTTTATAAATATAATATTCTCTTGCATATTTTTGTAAATTATCTTATATTATATTGAGGAACGTAATATATTCATACCTATAATAAGTAGCAGAATTATTGGTATTGTCAATTTTGATAGCATGATCAGCCTAAAGCTTATACAAAATCCGGGGGAGAATTATACCGATAACGATCCAAATAATTGGAGATTTTTGAAAACAGAGATTGTCGATCAACGCCTATGAATAAACTATTGCTTGAATTCTGGGGTTAAAGATCGTTTGTTAAAAGAAGGATTCTTTACACATTCACTATCGCGAGGATAAAATTCGTGCTCTAGTGCAGCTTCTTTCTGTCAATTAGCAACTAAACTCGCTGAACGCGTCGACTGAACTGATTAGCCAACTCCAGGCAGCTAGAGACTTTTTAATTATTGCTTTACGACTATTAACTAAATGCGCACTAATGCGTTTAATTAGTATACCTCTTAGACACTATTGGACTAAGAAAATGGGGTGTAAAATTAATAAGTGTTTATATTGATGTATTGATTCTTTGTAATTTATGTAAATTTGTGCAGATTTGTAATTTCATTCATTTCGTTAATATCAATTATTATTTTTATCAATAATTTTTATCTCGTTAGTTTTGAATTTATTAATTTTATATTGTAATTATTTTATTATTAATATCATATGTATTTATATTATTTTAAATAAAAAATAATAGATCGTTATATGCCAGATTATGAAATATTATATTGTTTAGATTAGGCATATTATGTCTTGCTATCTTTCTTGCTAATATTGCTAATATTTTTCCAAATAAACGATTAACAGAAAATTAAATATTTAATTAATTATTAGTTTTTAATTTTTATAATTAATTTAACTTTCTTTTTTCATTGTTTTTTTTAAAACTATTTATATATATATATATATATATATATATATTTCTGTAACAATACTAAAATAAATATTAATTTTTTATTAATTTAGGATATAAATAATAATATTGGATAGTTAAGGAAATATATTATCACAATTCGATAACATTTGACACGAATAACTATAATTCCGGAAGTAGATGCAGTTTACACCGCGAAACGCGCATAATTTATTTGTACAATATTCTTATAAAAACATTTATTTACAAGATAAGAATATTCAGTTTTAAAAATGTATATATAAATTTGTTTCATTTTATGTAGATAAACGTAGATTAAAGTATTAAAATCAAGAATTTCGATCAAGACAATTAATTAGAATAATAATTTATTATAAAAGAACATCTCTCTTGATTCTCTCATGATCTCTTGATTCTTGGATTATAAACATTTTGAAGTTTCATTTACAATATGTATAACTAAGTATAACTAAGTACATTCGAGTTTTAGTATAGAGAATATTTCACAGACTTTACATATATCTAAAGTTTCAATATGATTTCATTAATATATGTATATTTGATAATTTGCATATAATTCATTACATTATTAAATCTTCTCAATTTATATTCTAAAAAAAAAAATTTATGTAAAATATCATTTTATATTAATATAAAAATATTAAAATAATAATTGTTAGTACCTTACATGAATGTTTGATCATGTTGTTCATGAATCATTGCTCTTCTAGACTGAACCATATTAGTTTGTCTATTATACAATTCTCGTACCAAATTGTCCTTTTCTTGTTCAAGTATTGCTATCCGTTGATTTTTTTTAGTGACTTCCTATTTTTATAAATAAAAAAAATTATATAATTACATGAATTACAATTACACATGTTTATTTATTTAATTTACTTCTGTTAATCTATGATTTTGTTGTTTTAATCTAGATAATATATCTTGTTGAAGTTGATTTGATGTAGGAGTACTAAGAAAAGCAAGATTCATGTGAAGAGGAAGTCCACCACGTTCCCAACTACTTATTAATGCAGCTAAATGTCTATTAACTTCTAATACTCGAGCACGTTGTAATTCCAAACGTTCTTGTTGAGCTTCTGTCCATTGTTCCTAAATAAATATATATATATATTATATATATATATATACACACACGCGCGCGCGCGCGCACACACACACACACATGTATATATGTTAACATAAAATATTTTAAATAATTTTACAAAGTTAAAAAGAAATTTAATACCACGTGAGATCCCATTCGCCCAAGATGTTTGATTTTTTCTTGAGTAGAAGAAATTTGTTTCAAATACCATTCTCTAGCTTTATCAACTGCAGCTAGTCCTTGAAGTAATACATCTTTTTCTTGTTCAATCTGTTTCATTCTTTTCATCTAAAAAAAAAAATTATCAAATAGCTATTATTATAAAAAATTAAAATACAGGCTTCCCAACTATGTATTCTATTAAAGTAATATAAGTATTATGTCCTAAACAAAATATTTAGTATAAATTATTATCTTTATCTACATGTTAATAATCACTAAATTTCATGCATACCCAAAACCAATCACCAATCGTTAGTTGGGAATCCTAGAGAAGAATTTCTTTACCATATTGTAATCAATACCATTCTGCAACGTGTGACGTCTAGGTTCTCTGCGTTTATTTAATGGTTTTTTAGGCTGTAAAATAACTTGATTATTTTGTAAATCAACAGCTTTACCATCTCCTAATACTCTAGTTGGTCTTAATAATGTTCTAGTATCAGATCTATAATTCGTTGGTAATTGTCTTTTTTCTATAGTTTTCTCATCATTCATTAATAAACTCATTTGCCAATTTTGTAATACAGTTCGAATTTCAGATTTATCAAAATTTCTATCTGAATTAATAGCTCTGGTTTCTAATGCAATACCCATTCTTGGAGGTTTTGGAGGTCCATATGTCTTATTTAATTTTATTTCAGGTGCAGTTCTATTATCCATTAATTCTATTTGTGCATTTGCATCTTTTCGATTTGCTAATAATTGAGGCATGCTTAAGGTACGTTGTTGAGATATAACATTATTCGGTCTAATAGTTGCTGTATTTGAAGATGTCCATGTTGTTTTATTTTGATTATCAGGTATTAATATTGGAGCAGAAGGTGGTCTATTTGGTTGACCATCATGTTTTTTAGAATCAGTCTCAGTTTGAATTTGTAATAAACATATCTTAAGTCCCATACAAAACCTTTCAAAAGATAATAATCCATTAGATGGAGTAACTTTCTTAAGACTATCCAAAACTCCTTTTGGAAGACCTTGTGTTCCATCATCTTGCCATCTGCCTTCAATATCAGAAAACTTGACAAAACCAGTATTTTGGTCATCCATTATATCAAAAAGTGTACGCATAGCAGTCACAAAATGTTTTGGTAATCCATCCGCGCCCGAAGTTTGTATTTGCGCCATATTCATATACAAATGTATTTAAAATATAATTATATTAAGAAAACATGTATTCATTTAAATATTTCAAAATTGAACATTACCTTTCAGGTAATGGAAGATATATCATTGTTTCTCTTAAGAAATGTTTCTTTGATTAATCATTTCCTTAATTAAATATTATTTCAGTTAAGTAAATATTCATCTGACAGATATTTTTTTCTTTATTTGTCATGTATAATGTTAAAACATATTGCCAAATTATTAGCAGAATTATTCGTATCAAATATAAATAAACTTAATATTTTCTGAATTCATTTTTCTTTTATTTTATTAATAAAATTTTTGTTAACCTCTTTAAAACTTATATATGAAATTAAATATGAATGTAACACAAGAAACAGGTGTGTCGAAATACAAATCAATCTATAGTCCGTCCAAAGAAACAAGTCATCAAGTAAACAAATAAAATCACATAAAAATTTTTTTAAAAATTACTATTGGTTAATTATTATTTGATGATCTATTGATATAAGAATCATATATTCGTATGTTATATAGATTTTTAATAAATTCAGATTTTTATTTTTATTTTTTAAATACATCTTGACAATTTCAAATATAAGTATTATATTGAAATAAATAAAAAATATTTTTAAAATAATTTGTATAATAATATTCAATGTTTATTTTAAAAAATATAAGTTAATTATAACTTTATGATAAAAAGTGTGAATTTACATATTAATTTATATTTAAATAAAATTGTTTAATAAATATATAATTAATCAAATTTAAAAATTAAAAAATTTTAATTTAATAATATTTATGAAATTAAAACATTATATTTGAATATTTATTAGATAATAATAAATTTAAATTTAAATCGAATTGCATTAAATAACTATTTTAAATTAAAATTTTTCATTTTAAAATCAAACTTCGCGCTTTAATCATAAACACATATCTTATTAATTAAGGCATATTCACATATAATATGAAGGCATATTCATAACCCATTCAAAAAATCGTAAATATAAAGCAGTGAAGCGTATCTCTAACATTATAATAATAAAGTTTAGATGGCAGTAAATGAGCATATATGAAAATAGTATTAAATTTCCATACTAGTAGTAAACTATATACACTTAGACTAACGTAGATCAGCCAGTTTCAGACTTTTGTCTGTGGCGCGAGACAGTAAGGCTATGGGAACGGAGAACTTCGTGGGAGAAGTTTGTTCTCGCGGATGAGTTGTTCAAGATAGTGGTGGCGTGCGCGAGCACCCGCCATATATCCAGGAAGTCACGATAAAGTCCCCGGTTGTAAAAAATACTTACAATCTTGTGTTGAGATTTGCAAATCTTTAGCAAGATTTAACCGGGGAAATATCGGTGGAGTGTATCACATTTAAAGCGCACGGTGTGAGATCTTAAACAGTGAACGGAGAATCGGTAATGTGTTTTTCATGGCGATCAGTTCATTAAGGAGATATATGCTATCATCAATGTACGAAATACGAGAAAGGTGAAGGAAGTGCTCGCCAGACCTGACCTACCCAAAAGAAATACCACGAAACGTAGCTTCTTATATATATATATACACACACACAGTGCGTCACCGCCCATATGTGATGTGTTTCGTGCGTTCGAACGAATGAGTAATCATGTACTGTCAAGACAAGGGCTCGACCACCTCCAAGAGCAAAGAGGGTAAGTTGATGTCTGCGAGATTTAATTATCACACAAGTAATTCCTTCGTGTATCTCTTTTTCTTTTTCATTTTTCTGCAACATTAGATTGTATCCTCGATGCTCATGTACCGCTTTCCATTTTTATCTTCTTTCATTTGGATTTTTGTCTTTCTGTTTTGCACATGTGGATTCGGTAAAACACGACTAAGTAGACTGGATAGAATGTCAAAAGTTTCTCGATTGTGCGGGTGGATTGTTAGTTTGATGGAGAAAGATAAAATGACAGACCAAGAGAGTGCGGTAAAGAGGGAGACTAGGAGAGTGTCGTTTACAAATCAAAGGGGTGGGGGACGAACAGTATGTATTTCGAAGAGAGAAACGGATCATGTACATTCTTGGCAAATCTTTTTATCGAACTTCAGACGCATAGACGAGTTTATCAGATGTGAGATTGCATTAAAGTTGTGCATCATCACTTTTAGTGCCGCAAATATTGCAATACCTTTTGTTGCCGCGAAAACGTCATTCGTAAACCACGACAGATGCGTGAATGGAGAAAAGTGCTTTTGTGTACGGGAAAGCATGCGGAATATCATGAAACGAAATGTGGAGTCAATAACCATTCTAGAAATTATCAACGTAATTTATCTATCATTATTTTACATATATAAAAATTACATTTTTTCTATTCAGTTCATTGACCTTTAGTAATAGCACATGTATACACGTATTTATGTACACATACATATATATACATTATACATTATATATTAAACATAACCATATATATATATTATATACACATTATACATTATATTCATTATACATTAACATAACCATATATATATATATATATATATATATATATATATATATACAGGGTGATTCTTTCTTAGTGACCTTAAAGCCAATGCTAAACTACATGGTGATATTTTCGTGTTTATATATTTTTATATCATCAATAAGATTTTATTTTTAATTCTGGAACTTTCAGTTTCATTTTATCATATATATGCATATCCCATATCAATTTTTTATGTTACGATAGAAAAGAATTATCGATAGATGATACAAACGATGATACGAAGATATTGGCGCGGCATTTTTAAGTCATAAGTCATGTTTTAAGTTCTTCAGAACCAATTTATATGTATGTGTTTATCAAATTTTTAATTATTCTTTATTTTTTAATTGTTAATAATTAAATCATTCGCTCTAGATATTCGCTCTTTAGCTATAAATCATAAATTAAAAAAAAATTCAAATACAAAACTATATAATCAAAAAACTATATAATCAATTTCAAACATTTATATTATCTTTTTATATTATTTTTTCTTTAATTGTTTGTTATTATTGTAATATCATATCTTATTAATAATTTTTTGAATTATTTTTAAATTTCTATGAATAAATTAAGATCTGTTTACCTTTAATAAAATAAAGATTTGTTTTATTTTCTAAATATCAAATGTATTTTTTTTTAATTTTTATATCTCTATGTATATCAAGTGCATCATATTTTTCTTATATATTTAAATTTTCTATTTATAAACTTTTACTTTTAGTATATTAATTATATATAAATTTTTTTTAATAGAATAACTTTGTCATATAATGAACAACTGCTACTATTATCTTTTCTAATTGAGCATACATACTTATATGGTACATAAATTAAGAAAGAATGTCATTTGCATTTGTACAAGCAATTATAAACTCTTCTGCTTTATTATTTCATTGTTTAAACGAACATACTGTTATATGGTATAATCTTCATTTTATTCAACAGAGAAAAAAAATATCATTATCTATATAAGCAAATAAACTTTTAAATTCTTTTTTCCAAAAAAAATGATCATTGATAATGTTATATATATTGTATTTTATCTAAGACAAATATATTATATTTTATCCAAGATAAATTTATATATTCCATGCTACTATTAATCATAAGATTGAGGAACACTGGCATTGCATATTGCATGATGTCATCACACATGTAATAGTTCATAATGTTTGAATTATTCTCAGTTTCTTGGTCATATATTACAGTACGCCAATGTCTGAATTTATATATCTTTGTTTTGATTTACAGTTGCTAAAGATTGCGATTATTATGCACAGGGTCTGTGACAATGCGGGAGAAGAAAGGAGGTGCTCTTAGCAGAGTACAAAAGCTGAAAAAAAGGCTTAGCCACAGCTTTGGAAGACTTTGTAAGTATATTTAAAAAAACTTATATTTAAAAAAAATATAGAGAACATTTAATTAATATTTAATTAACATTTAATTTACATTATATTTTTTGATTTTTATAATAAAATGATAAAAATAATTTAATAATAATGATAATAGTTTAGTATTTTTTATCTAGTATATTTAATCAGTATATTTTTTATTATATAAAATAAGATTCATATTTTATTAAAGAATTTTTAAGCAACTGATATTTTTTTATAGATTTTTGAAAAATTTTATAAATTTAATTTTATTATTATTTTATATTATGAAATTTTTTGTATTTCTATTATACTATATGATATTATATTAATTACATAATATATTCTAATGTATATTTACTTAATAATATATTTATATACTAGTATATAATTATATTTACTTACTACTAATTATATTGACTTACTACAATAAAATAATTAATACATTTATAAAATTATTGTATCTAATATTAATTTATTAATATTCTTTATTTTAGCAATATCAAAAGAAGAGGCTGATGATGCTGCAAATAGAGGTCAACTGCCATATAATGGCTATTCCGAGGAGTTCCTAGACCGTTTAGAACCAAACGGCAATATACCTGCAGATAAAGATCGTCGTTACGGTAAGTGTAAAATTCATACATGCTATAAGAATAATCACGTTATAATCATATAATATAATTAACAATATAAATTATAACTCTATTTATCAAACTGAGTAAGTTTTATTATCATCAGTACTTATTAAGATAAATAATATTTTTTTAAAGATATGATATGTGACATGAATGACTACTATATTTATATATTTATATTGATATTTGATATTTATTTATTTATTTATGCATAAACATTTATTACTAATTACTAGTTAATAACAATCAGTAGCAGTTAATATGATTAAACTGATTCAATATAATTATATCTATTTGATAATCTATATTATATAAATTAAAATTTTTTATGTATTAATAAAATATTGAGGGATTATGATTCTACGTGGATTCCTATTGCTGTTATTTTAAAGAAAGTTTTAAGGACGAAATTGGATGTCATAGAATGGACAGGTGTGGGCGACCATGAGAGAGTGCATCGGCAGCTTTCCGTTTCTAGTGATTCCAAGCTTCTTGATGAGGATATACGGGAAGAAGCGAGAGTAATCTTACGACCTCGACGTCCACCACGACCTAAATCAGAGGTCTTCCTTGGGCCAGATCCACCTCCTAGAAGAACCAAGAGATTTTCAGCATTTGGGGTAATGTCAAATTCATATCTTCTATGTTTGTTTTTTAATATTTTAATGTTAAACAGTATCTGTATATATATTTACAGGGAGATTCTCCTTTTGGTAAATCTGAAGCTTATATAAAATTGGAACAATTAGGAGAAGGATCATATGCCACAGTGTTCAAAGGCTATAGTCATCTTACAAATCAAATGGTGGCACTTAAAGAAATTAGATTACAAGAGGAAGAAGGTGCTCCATTTACTGCCATTCGTGAGGCAAGCCTTCTTAAAGAATTGAAGCATAGCAATATCGTTACTTTACACGATATAATTCATACGCGTGAGACTCTTACTTTCGTTTTTGAATATGTTCATACTGATTTATCACAATATATGGAAAGATATGGGAGTGGTAATGGTGGTTTAGATCCACGAAATGTTAAACTATTTTTATTTCAATTATTAAGAGGATTGGCATACTGTCACCGCAGGTAAAAGTATCTATATATATTAAAATTTTTAAATTTAATATTGATAATTAATTTATTGTATCTTAATTTAGGAGAGTATTACATAGAGATGTAAAACCACAAAATTTGTTAATCAGTGAAATAGGCGAACTTAAATTAGCAGATTTTGGTTTAGCAAGAGCTAAATCTGTACCATCACATACATATTCACATGAAGTTGTGACATTATGGTACAGGCCACCTGATGTTCTTTTGGGTTCCACAGAATATTCTACCTCACTTGATATGTGGGGAGTAGGTTGCATATTTATGGAGATGTTGACTGGTGAACCAACATTCCCAGGTGTGCGCTGTACGTACGACCAACTTGATAAAATATTCAAAGTATTGGGCACTCCTACTGAAGAAACTTGGCCTGGTGTTACACATCTGCCAGGATATAAACCGCATAGACTGGGATTCTATCCTCCACGAAAATTGGGTCTTTCGTTTCCTAGACTTTATGATATTGCTGAAGGTGATAATATGGCATCATCACTTTTACAATTAAATCCTGACCAACGGATAGGAGCTGAAGAAGCATTAAGGCATTCTTATTTTGCCTCTCTTCCTAGAAAATTATACGAATTGCCTGATGGTAAGTTAATAATATATGATTATTAAAAAAATATATTTCAATAGAATTATTTGTCATTGATTGATTTTTATTTCTTTACAGAAGTATCGATATTTAGTGTTGAAGGTTGTCATTTATATACAAATTCGAGGCACGGGTGTGCAGATTCGCGTCACACAACTCTTAAGACTTGAAGTTAAAATTAAATATAAAGAAAAAAGTAAATAATAAGTAATTCCCAAATTCACATGTTCAGTGAAACGTTCATTCTCATACAGATTAGATTTACATTGGCACTATTGCCTTAACTCACATATACATTATTTCCACGCGCGTCAATCGCTCTTTCTCAGGGCTGCTCTACAAATTCCATTCATACATACATATACAAACACAAATACAAGCATATACATAATTGCGATATTTTTGGTTTTCTTTTTTTTTTTTTTCCAAAACTAATATATACATATATGAAATGAATTAACGAAGATAAATTATTAACTGGCAAAGAAAATACGAAAGTAAGCTATCTGTGGCTAAATGAAGTAAAAGAATTTTGAGATTCGCACGCTCGATTTAGGAAGCAAAAGCACGCACGACCCATCCTCGCACTTCGTCCAAATATTAGATTTAGAATGATTTACCAATCAAAAAAAAAAATACTATACCGCCTTGTGGTTCTCGATCCCAGTCTGAATGAAGTCTGGAAATGGCGGTTGCTGTTTAGAAAAGATATAATAAAATAATTATAACTTAGAAAAATTCTGGAAGATCTGTAATACTTCATATAAATTTTATGCTGTTTTTGACTTTACTGTTGGTTACTGAGACAATTGAATATATTGGTATGTAACAAAAAAAATCATTGTTCGAATTAAAACTAGTTGTTAATTATATGACGTGATGATAGGAATAAATAATAGAATTCTAATAGAAAAAAATACCAATACGAATCAAATGTCATAGCTACCAACATTATGAAATATACAAGACTAATGAAAAAAACTTATCGTTGATGATATCGACGGTAATGATCTAGTTGTAAGAATTAATATTAGCATGCTAGTGTCGATCGAAGTTCATTATCGACATTTACAAAGTAGTATCTATCAATGATAGTAAATCAAGAATGAAGTAATAATTATAGACGTAATCAAATCCAATTTGTTCAATCGCTCATACATTAAACAACTAATGGTGCTTGAACGAATTGTAGAAATAAAATGTTATTAAATTGGTATTAGTTATTTAGAATGGATCGTTCGGCCAATATCGTTTCTAAGTGGTTTTTAAAGATCATATATCTCTAAACGAACCAAGTTTAATAACGTTGCAATAGTAATATAGGATATGTAATGTAAAATGGTGTTACAGTCCTTCCGAGTTTTCTCTAAGCTACGATGATTATTACGATGAAATATTAATCCTTTAGTATTTACATTTATACCAATTTTTCAGCACACTTATAAAAATATCAACGAGACGAAAAAAAAATTTTAAAAATATTTCGAAAAAATTTGGGACACGTTATTACTATTATTACTTATTAAAGATTATTATTTGAAAAAAGACGCGCAGAAGGTAGATTGTATATAGAACACCAGGTTCGTATTATTGATGACGCTGAGATAGCTGAGCTGAGACTAATAAATGTGACTTTGTAATAAATTAAAGCGTAGTTCGGTACACTTGAGACCTACCTGTTCTTCGTTAGGTTTTCCATGTGCAACAAATTACAGGAACATTTATATTGTTAAGTATAATATAATGCAAAGCCTTATATCTGTAATACTTGTTCTGCTTAAGTATTGATTTTATACACATTTATTTCTTTATAATTATATTTTATTTGTAATTTTTCTAAGAAATCATTGAGATATTTGAATTGCTTCAAACTTGTATTAAGAAAGATAAAGAACTATGTTTTTGAAGTACGTGTATGTTGAGAAATTTATACCTTGTATATTATTCAGTGCAGTTTAGATTTGGAATCTTTATGAATTATTAAAATCTTTTTTTTTTTAAATATCATTTTAAATTTTATAATAATATAATATATTAAAAATTTTTATAAAACTTTTATAAAAAACTGAATTTAATTTTATATGTTATATATTATTTAAGTAATTATTTAAATGAATTTAATATAACATTAATTATAAATTGATTTTAATTTTATTTACAAACAATAATATATATTATTACGATAAATTTTAAAAAATTAATGTATTCATAATTACCATTTTAAAGATATTAGTTTGACATAGACTGACATAGAGGTTAACATGGCTTTGTTGTCATTATAAGTAAAGTGTTACGTTTCATAAAGTCAAGTGATTTTTATTAATATACTTAATTAAATTAATAAAAGCATGGCATGTCCTTGAATGGATTATTATTTTATTCATCAAGTTATATGAACATGTTATTTTCATTAAACGATCATACAAAGTGAAAGCTATGGCTGGTGTCATACAGGAGGTTAGAGATCCTCTGTCCACGGACAGTAAAGGTAATAAATAATTTTTATTAATTGATTTTATTTAAAAAAGATTATATCCTTTGTATTTTTTTAAATAATATTTATTTATTACATAAAATTAAAAATTAAAATAACGTATTTTTAACGAATATAAATTATGTCATTGATACACACAAAATATATACACGTCATCGGTAATTAGAACAAAGAAATTCCCGCATATTAATTTTTATTTTTATTATAAAAATGCCGTAATATTAGATGTTTGTTATTTCAGGATCTATAAGTATCAAAACGATATCTTATGAAGAAATTGCTATTAAGCTTTTAAACGAAAAGCTTTTATTAACGGCCTTAGAATTACATGCAGAGTTATGTGAAGCTGGAAAAGAATTACCTATTTTAAGAGAATTTTTTTCAAATCCAAATCATTTTGAAAATCAAAGTATTAAGCCAGAACCATATACCACTATGCGTATGTAAAACGATGTGGGAGTTATTTATATTATTATACAAATTTATTAATAATAAAAATTAATAAAAAAATAACAAGAAATTTAATGCAAGAACAAATTTTTATTGCTGTATTTATATTGTAATAATTATTTATTCTCTATAAAAAAATAATTGCAAAAGTAATATAATATTAGAATTTTATGTTATTAGCTAGATCTTCTAGTCAGGCTACTTTGGATTCACTTGATATGACAAGATATTCAGAAGATGGTGCAGGTGTTGATGAAAGAGTAGCAATTTTAGAATTTGAACTAAGAAAGGCTAGAGAAAGTATTTCAGCTCTCCGTGCAAATCTTACAGTAGTAACAGGTTTTTTTCATACATATTTGATATTGATATAATTAATTATTTGAGTTTGATAATTATAATTACAAACTAATTATAATTATAAATTCAAACTAATATTTATTTAAACATTTTAGAATCAGAAGGAACTATATCTGATAAATTCTCTGATAAATATTTATCTAATGAAACCCCCATAAAACCTCATGAACAAAGAGCTATAAATTTTCTTGTTAACGAATACTTGTTGGCAAGCTCTTACAAATTAACATCAATTACATTTAGTGATGAAAATGAAAATCAAGATTTTGAAGATTGGCAAGATGTAGGATTAAATATTCCAAAACCAGCAGAATTATTACAAATTTATAGAGAATATATGAGAGCAAATGGATATGATAAATCATCTTCTGTAAGTGTTGGTGTGCAAACTGATTTCTGTGAACTAAAATCAGAAACAGAAGCAGAAAAAGATGAATTTAAAGAAATGGTTTGTGAAAATTATATTTATAATAAATTTTATATTTTATTAAATTATTATTATTTATTGAAATAACATTATTAATAGGTAAAAAAAGTAGAGGAACTTAAACAACAGACTGCATTATTAGAACAGGAAAGATTGGATTTACAACAATTTATTGTCACTAGTGAAAATTTATCTCAAAATCCAATTAAAGTATAAATTTTAACATATGTTATAAAAAACTCAAAAAAATTGTCTTTGTTTTTTAATCAACATATTTTTTTATATAGCAAGGTAGTAGCGGAACAATACAAACAATAAATTCAAATTCTACTACTCCAGATAAATTTGAACTTCTTGAAACACCAGCTCGTGATACATCGACAGTTACTCAAGAAGTCGAAGAAGATGATAGCGTTTCTGTTGTTGTCAGTCTTGGCGAAACTGATCCCGGAGATAAAGAATGGACTAGAATACAATTACCTAGAGTGGATATTATTGAAGAATCATCCATTCTTCCTAATCCATCATCTAGGTATTATTTTTTAGTAATATATTTTAGTAATATATCATTTTTATATGTATATTTTTTATAAAAAATAAATGTTTTTAGACATTTACCATTAAAATTCAAAATGGAAGTAATAGCACATTGCTTAATAAATGTTTCAAGTTCTGCAATTTCTACTGCGGAAGAAATTTTCAAAAATGGTATAACACGTGATACTCTCATTCAAATTTTAGCACAAACATTACCTCGGATTGTACCTAATGTTATTTTAAATAAGCGCGAAGAAGTGATACCATTAATATTAAGCACAATTCGACTTCATAATGATTCTACAGAAAGAGAAAAATTATTACAATTATTATTTAATCTAAAGAAAAGGCCACAAGAAGATGAAAGACAATTGATTTTAGCTGGTTAGTACAAAATATTATAAATAATATATAATTATTTTAATTAATTTTAATATTTTTTATTCATTTTAATATTAGGTTTTGTTGCTATGGCAAAACTTGAAGATGAACCAATGGAAGGTGAAGAAATTTTGACTATTTGTTGGGAACAAAGTCAACACAAATATCCTGAAAAAAGATTATTAGCTGTTGAGTGCTGTTCAGTATTAGCTCCATATATGTCAGTTTGCATAAGAAATTCTTTAATGCTTTCTATGCTTCAACAAATGTTACTTGAAGATAAAGATCCTACAGTTAGGGCTAGTGTAGTGAGAAGTCTTGCATTATTGATAGCTTTAATGGATGATCCTGATAAATATTTTCAGGTATTATTTTATATTTAATAAATTTAATAATGTTTAATAAATTTAACAAACTAATTTAAATATATTATGTTGTTAATATTTACTTTCAGTGTGAAGAATTAGCATTAACAGCACTTCATGATATATCATCTATTGTTGTTGAAGTTGCATCTTCCTTACTTTTACCAATTTTAGCTCAATGGGCGCTTTCTCTCAAAAGATTACAGTCACATCTATTGCCACGTATTATATCTAAAGTAAAAAATCATTTAAAATCTTCATATCTTCAACATTCAAATAAAGATCATATCGATGAAGAAAGAATAGTATCATCAATTGGAGTATTACAATATTTACTTCCACATATGGTTATCTGTATAGCAGATACTGATTCAGTTAGAACTTATATTGAACATGGAATATCATCTGATTTACGTGAGTATATCGTAAATTTATATATAGATTTCTAAATAATTGCAATATTTAAAATTTTTTATATTTTATTATATAGCTGATGTGTTTGTGAATTTGTGTCATTCCAATATCGTTAATCCAAAAGTATTTTATGATGGTGATGTGGATATAGGAAATCTTCTAAATGCGTTTTTTGCAAATACATGGGAAAATGATTCATGGCCAGAATTAGATTGGTTTACAAACAAATTGTACTTTGTTTTTTTTTCTTTAAATTTTCAATTAATAGTATCATATATTTATGATTAACACTTTCAGAGTGTTGGATATTTTGGAAATGGTAAAATCTGTTGAAACTAATCAAGAGACAATTTTAAATGCTCTTTTAATGTATATTCATTCTTTATGTTTGGGTTTTGGACGATATATCACACAAACACGGGTAAATTAATATTTTGATTTTGAATATTTCATAATTTTGATCAAATGAATGAATAAATATCATATAAAAATAATTAACAATTTCATATTTTTTAGATTCAACCAATAATTGCATCTGAAATAATTGAACTTGAACAACAATTAACGACTTTATCAACTGATAAAAAGAATATGAATTTGACATTAATTCCAACATATTTAATTATATTGTCCACTTTGAATGGTATAGATGTTTCTAAATCTTTAAAACAGTTCCTTGTTGTTTTATCTATGAGTGGCACCAATATTACTAGTTTACAGATCGCAATTATTATGTTATGCGCTCAAGAAAATATGCAAGAACATGTTCTTAGTGGTTTATGGGATGGTTAGTTTTATAAATAATTAAAGTAGAATTTTTTTATTAGAAATTTAGTAATCAAGTTATGTTTTCCTCTATTTTTTATAGGGGTAGTACATCAAAGACCTATTGTAAGATGCGCAACTGCAACATTATTTGGTTGTATAATAGCTCATATTTCCGATCAGTTAGCAAGTGCTAAAGTAGTTCCTGCAATTGTAACGCTCGTTAGTGATCCTGATATGTAAGATATCTTTATAAATATTTTATTCACTTCAAATTATTAATATTATTTATATTTATAAAGTTAATTCAATTATTCATTTTGAAAAAATATAAATAATTAATATAATTAAAATAGTATTTATTTACTTTCAGAACTGTTCGATCTGCTGCAATTCCTTCTCTTGGTCGTTTAATAACGGAATGTAAAGTTAGAGAGATCCGTGATAAAGCACGTTTAACTTTAGAAACTATTGCTAAAGAACCTCATGGCATTCCGCCAACTTTAGCACTTCCTTTGGTTTCAACATTAGCATTTATTGCTCCTAATTGCCCTCAAAATTATATAGAAGATGGTAAATTTTTATTAGAAATTTTACATTTTCAATATTTATGATATGTAAAACACTAAAGTTTTTAATTTTTTATAGTTATAGCAACGCAATTAATGGGCATAACTTCATCAGCATTACAGCAAAGTCGTAAAATTGATCTCATTAGTTCATTAATTGAAGCATATTCTGTCTTGGTTTATTGTCCATTGAATAATCAATGTGTTTCTAGCGTGTTATTGCCCGGATTAAAGTATCTCGAACAATTGATTAATCAATATTTACCTCAACAAAAAGAAACAGTTAGATCATTATTACGAGAAACAGAATCACGACAGGATCTTTCAAAACCAATGGAGAGGTAAATATTTAAATGCATTTTGAACTTATATTTATGTTGATGATTTTGAAAATAAATTTATTGTAAGTTAATCAATACAAATTACTTACAATAAAAATTATTGTAAGTATTGTAAGTTATTTTATCTTTTTTTTTCTTAGATCTTTATCAATGAGTTCTGGCCTTTCTTTATCAATGGCTTCGGTAAACGTAGGACAAGGTGTAGAAGATATGAGACAGAGAGTGAGCAAAATATTTCAACAAAAAACTAGTTCACCAAGTATGTCTAGTATTTTTCGAAAGAAATAAAATTTTTTTGTCATTCATGTTTAATCATAAATATTATATTTCATTCTTTTTAAAATTTTACATTTTTTTTTATTTTTAAAGTTTATTTATAATATTTATGTTGTACTTAATATATTATACAATTAAAAGTACAAGTGATGCACAAAATTTATACTAATCAGAATATAATATTATTATAAGTATTATTTGTTATAATCAGGATATAAATTTGATAAATATTATTGAATATCACTATAATGGTGCCTTTTAAGATGTAATTTTAAATCATGTGAATTACAAAATTTAAAATGTTTTGAAAATTAAAATTTAACTTAAGAACAGAAATTAATAGAATATTGATTTTGATTTTTAATTGCAGAATTAAGCATGATATTAAATACTTAAATAGTTACAATACTTTATATAATAATTTCTCTTTATTATAATTTATTATTTATTATATATTATATATTTTAAGTAATTATAATATATTTATTAAAATGAATCTCATATACTTTTATTAATGTAAATAATTTATGTATTAATTGTGTATTAATGTAATTAACTCTTACTAAAAAAAGAAAAAAAATTTAAATATATCCTGCCATAACACTACTTTGAATTTAAAAGTATAATTTTAAAAATATTTACTATACTTTAAATTATAGGAATGTAGTTATATTCACATAGTATATTGACATTCAAGAAATAGGTTGTGATTGTTAAACATTAAATGTTAGATATTTAATAACGATGATTTCATTTTATATTGCTATTTGATATTAAAAAGCAAAATAGTTTTTATTTTTGTCACCTCTAAAGATTTTGTGTGATATCATAAATCTATAATACACACAATTATCTATAATACATACAATTAATATGTATATTTGTACTTATATTGGTCATATGAATATGAATATTATTATTTTCTTTGCTATAAAAAAAAAGAAATTAATCAAATTTATTTAAAATAGATTATATTTTGTAAGAATATTTTATTGTATTTATATATATATATATATATA